TCTTCAAACCCTTTTGGCTGAGCTACATAAACTTCCTCCTGAAGTAGTCCATTTAGGAAGGCATTCTTTACATCCATTTGATGCAGAGTGATGTTCAACTTGCAAGCTACCCCAAACAGAAGACGTATAGATTCCAGCCGTGCAACAGGAGCAAATGTCTCATCAAAGTCAATTCCTTCAATTTGACAGTAACCCTGTGCCACTAGACGAGCCTTGTTGCGAATCACATTACACTCCTCATCAGTTTTGTTCTTGAATATCCACTTAGTTCCAAGAATGTTAACATCTTTAGGTGGTGGAACCAAATCCCAGACATCAAGTCTCACAAACTGTTCCAATTCCTCATGACACGCTGCTACCCAGAACTCATCATCGAGAGCTTTCTGAATCGTTGTAGGCTCAGTGAGTGACACAAAGCAAGCCAATTTGACCATAGATTTGAAGTCAATTTGCTTGTTCCTTGTTCTCCTTCCTTCAAACATGTCTCCAATGACATCTTCCACTGAATGATTTCTGTGAACTGTAGGCTGGTTCTGTCCGTCACAGATGTCAAGAGATGATTCTTCTTGATTACTTGACTGATCAGGGTGTTCGATGTTATCTGATTGAACTCCTCTTTCCGATGTGTTCTCTTCAGACACAGGCAGCTCTTCAACGATGCACGAGTTCTGGTCATCAAACACAACATTGATACAGTCACCCACCATTTTGGTGCGATTGTTGTACACACGAAAAGCTCGACTATTAATTGCATAACCCAGGAAGATTCCTGTGTCACTTCTTGAGTCAAACTTTCCCAGGTTGTCCTTATCATTCAGAATGTAGCATATACAACCAAACACATGGAAATAGCTCAGGTTAGGTGTCTTCCCATACCAGATTTCATACGGAGTTGTTCGAGTCCCTGGCTTAACATACACTCGATTAATGATGTAACATGCAGTGTTGATGGCTTCTGCCCAGAACCGTGGTGCTACATTGTTCCCATGCAACATAGCTCTTGCCATCTCCTGAAGCATTCTGTTTTTCCGCTCAACAACACCATTCTGTTGAGGTGTTCGAGGTGCTGAGTACTGGTGACGTATTCCTTGGTTCTGACAGAATCGCTCAAATATCTCATTTTGAAATTCTCCACCATGATCACTGCGAATTTGAATGATACCTCATTTCTCAGTTTTCAGCTGTAAAGCCAGGATCTTGAAACTCTCGGCTGCATCTGATTTTTCCCTCAAGAATCTTACCCAAGTGTATCTGGAATAATCATCCACCATCACGAGGATGTATCTCTTCCCATTGATACTCTCAGTCTGGATTGGACCCATCAAATCCATATGCATCCGTTCAAGGATCCGAGATGACCTGGTTTCACTCAACGCTTTATGTTGTACCTTAACTTGTTTACCCTTCTGACATGCGGCACACACAGTTTCAGTGATTGCTTCCAGGTCGGGAATTCCTCTCACCACCTCAGCTCTCACCAACTTGCTTAGAGCTTTAACATTCATATGTCCAAGGCGCTTATGCCACAGATCCAATTGTGACATTCGAGCTGACAGACATTGATTAGATACACTCCACATGTAGCAATTATTTCCTGTCCTAATCCCATACAGAAGTGTGTTGCCATTCTCATCAGCCGCCTTGCATTCAGTCCTGGTAAACGTAACCTTCAGTCCTTCGTCACACAACTGACTCACACTTATGAGATTAGCCTACAATCCATTCACATAGAACACATTCATCAGATTTGGCTTATCATCTCCCTCAAGTTTACCAACTCCGAGTATTTTGCCTTGACCTCCATCACCAAATGTGACATGTCCTCCCTTAACTTTGTTGAGCTTGTTAAACCATTCTTGATTCCCTGTCATATGTCTCGAGCATCCACTATCAAAATACCAGGCACAAGCTGTTTCACCATTAGTGGATGTGTAAGCCACATTACTCACTATTTCAGGCTCTCTAACACTTACGTGAGCCCAGTTGCAGTTAAGGTTGACTTCCTGACCTCCATCAGTACTCTCTACACAGGTCTGGGAATGCTCATACAAATCAGTCTTGGCAACCCACATTTTACCATAATACTTTGGCTCGATGTAGCATCTGTGTCTTGACCAAGCACTCCTGATTTTGTTCCTGAATTTGTAGCACTTCCTCTTCTTGTGACCAGGCTTGTCATAGAAAAAACACGTTCCCTTCTTTCTTGATTTAGACACAGGAGTTGTCACGGCTGCAGTGCTTTTCCGATTTGTCCCCATACTTTTCACATCATCCACACTTATAGAGGAACTTTGACCTTTGACAAAATCTGATGAGAGTTCACTTAGAGAAACTCCACCAGATACAAAACCTGACAGTGTGCCAGTAGGTGTCTTGAGGTTCTCAACTTGGAACCCACCTGTGTAACCCAGTCCCCAATTCTTCTTTGGGGGGAGACCTGATGATAAGATTTGGTCAAGGTTATCTGCACCTGTGTTCAGCATCCGTATTTTTTTATGATTCTCAGTCAGCTGACACTAAAGATCTCGTGCTTTTTCTTTCTCCTGATAGCAGATTTCCCTCAGATTGTTGAGCTTCTCTTCAAGATCCTTCCTTTTCTCCTGTTCGAGTAGAAAATCCTTGCGGAGTTTCTCTGTTTCAATACTGGAGTTAGTCTCATTTGAGTTGTGCTCCCCATCCTTGTTCTCTGATTGAACCGGGCGTTCTATCTCCAGGATATTCAACTGTGCCTTCATCAGAGCTTTATCCTTGATGAGACGAAGGTTTTCGGTGCTCAGGGTAACCCAGCTATCATAGAGCTTCCTGTATTCTTCTTTCGGATCAATATCCTTATCTTCCGATTCATCATCAGTATCAGCAGGTTTGAGGTTCTCTTTTCCTTCTTCATCTGCAGTGAAGGCAACGAAGTTCAACATAAGATTCTCTGTTTCCTCTTCATCATCATTGTCAGAGTCAGAATCTTCAAACACGATCATTGACTTGTCTTTTGATTTAAGCATATTAGGACACTCCTGTCTGGTGTGACCATAGCCCTTGCATTCACCACATTTCAGCTCCTTTCTCTTTGTCAACGGGCAATCATTTCGGAAGTGTCCGAAACCTTCACATTCATGGCACTGGAGATCTTTCTTACTACCACGACGATCACTGTCAAACCGAGGGGTCCTGTAATTGTTCCTATCAGCATCAGTCCTGCCACTCCGAGTCATCCGATTCTGACCTTTTTCAACCCTCTTCAACATCTTATTGAAGTTCTTGGCAAGCAGACTCAGATTTTCCTCAACCTGATTCATCCTAGTTTCCTCACGAGCTGCAGTGAAGGCTATACCTTTAGAACCAGATTTCTGATCATCAGTAGCTTCCATTTCCTCTGCTTTGAGTAAACCAACCAGTTTTATCAAATTCGAGGTTGTCAGTGTCCATGGAGTATTTTACCACAGTCTTATGTGCTGCGAACTTTGGTGGAAGACAACGAAGCAGTTTCTTGACCAGTTTCTTGTCCTTATATTTCTTTCCAAGGATAGCAGCTTCATTGGCAATGGTACTGAGTTTTGTGGTAAAGCTAGCAACTGACTCTTCAGGGGCCATCTTGAGATTCTCAAACTCAGAAGCTAAATGATCAATCTGTGTCCTCTTCACACTTGAGTTACCTTCAAAGTGATTTACAAGGGTATCCCAAGCTTTTTTGGCAGATTCACACCCTTGAATGAGCCCAAACTCGTCTATATCAACTGCGGCGAAGATAGCTGAGATAGCTTTGGAGTTGAACTTGGACAGCTTCTTTTCATCATCAGTCCAGGTGTTTTTCGGCTTCGGAATCTGTACCTTCTTGCCATCACTATCCTTTGATGCGACTGTAGGAGCCGTCCATCCTTGTTCAACAGCAGTCCAGGCATCTTCATCTATGCCTCTGATGACATGTCGCATTTGCGCCTTCCAGTGACCAAAGTTGTCTGCCTGAAGCAGAAGGGGTTTCTGAATAGCAATGAGTTCTTTCGAAATCTCCATGTCTTCTCCAGGATCTCAACCTGTTGAGAAAGAACCTTTCTACGTAGGTTGCCCGCTCTGATACCAATTGTAAAGTCAGAGACACAGAGATTTATGTGTAGAACAATAGACTTCAAAAACAAATACTCTTCAATTAAGAATCACTTAGACAATCTTGACAGATCTGTCTAATTAGTATTACACGACCTTGCTCTCAGCAATTCGACACTGACCAATCCTTAATCTACCCAACCTATTGCACACTAGGTTGTGCTTCTATAACAAGGATCACTCACCAAGAACCCTAACTCTCTTTGCTTAGTCTCTTGTGATAATCCTCTCTCAATCTCTCTAGAACGGCTACCCTAACACAGGTACCATGATGTCAAATATATACCATCTCCCATTTCTCCTTTGGTGTATATCTTCTTTCCTTCTCGTTAGGATCCTCCAATCTTCTTGTGAGATATCTATATATCCTCACATGCCACGTCATCACTTCTGATTTTGATCTCACGATATTCTCGCGCTCCAGTTCCTTCTGTGCTACACACATACAGTCTGCTGAGTCTTCAACCCTGAATCTTACAGGTATTAGATGAATCTAACTAAACGTGGGATTAGACAAAAATTCTCACAAAAAAGTAATACACACCTAATTCATTACATTTTCTATTATTCAATTCAAATCTCAATATCATTTATTTTTAATTAAAATTCAATCTCTCCCAAAAAAAAAAAACTTAACAATGAACTTGGTATTAGATGAATCTAACTACACGTGAAATTAGAAAAAATTCTCACAAAAAAGTAATACACACCTAACTCATTACATCTTGTCATTTATTCAAATTTCAACAATCGTATATTTCAACAAAATAGTTCCATCGGCTTATAATTAAATTACAAAATTGTACTTTGATTTTAATGGGGATTTTAGTGTGTTTTATGTTGATGGGCCAAAGCCCATTTAACAAGCCTATATTATATGATATCTTCATTGCAAAGAGCTTCTGAGTGTTGACTCGGGAAAACAAAAAAGAAATGAAGAAAGGATTAAAGAGAAGAAGACGTTTAGGAAGAGCTTAAAGCAGCTGTGTCAACCAAAACCAAAAATCGCCTTTCTCCCGCGGCGGTTTTCCGGTCACAATCTCTCTCTCTCTCGCGGCGGCGACGGCGGCGAATAGAATAATCCCATGATGTTGAAGCTTTGGAGATGGTACCAGCGATGCTTGACGGTTCATCCATTGAAAACTCAGGTCATCAGCTCCGGCTTTCTTTGGGGATTTGGCGATGTCACCGCTCAATACATCACTCATTCCACTGCGAAACCTCGTCTTCTTCGTCTCACCGTTAGTCATTCTCGATCTCCTTCCCTCTCTATTCGTCTCTCTCTCTCTCTCAGCTCCTTACCTCGATTAAGCTTTTCAATTGGGACTCTATCCGATTCTTGATTTTGTTCTTTTGGTGCGGATTTTATGGAATTAGTTTTAGGTTTCTTGAGCTCTCCGGATTTTAATTTACATCTAGGAGGTATCTCTGGGTTTCGTGATGTTTCCGCTTCAAGTTCGTATCAATCGATTCTCTCTGTATCAGTATATATGGGACATTTCAATGAATGAGTAATGTTTCACATGTTGTGTTGATATATGCTGCTTTTCCTTAGACATTGATGCTATTTCTGGAGTTTTTCTTCGATATCCAAGAAAATGCTAAGAATCATTTCCCAAATTTCTTGTAGTATACCACATGCATTTTACTTGCTTGCTGAGATTTCATGGTTATACACTGTCAAGACTGTTACATACTATGTGTTTTTGGCCAGATTTTTGTACATTACAACTTAACTGTTTTCTTTTTTCCAAGCTGTGTTAGTTGAGAAGAGGTCTTCTATGCGGTGATAATACTTTCCATAATCATGGAGCTAATGTGTTTTGTTACTCCTTACGCTGGTGGTCCTGTACTTTCCATGTGAACATTGCATCACAACTTACCTTTTTGGTTCATTGGTAACACATGTTCATCCTGGCTATATAGTTCTGTAGATTAGCAGCTTTTTTGCCCTATTGGTTGCTTCTATGAAAGAATGAGATGCTTTTTATTCATCTTTTGCTGCAAAAGGACCCCTTAGAATTCAAGAAACCAAACCACCAACAAAGCTCATAGTCATTTGGTACTTTTCTATGTGATTTCGTTTTTTTTTATTTCCATTTTTCTTTAAGTTCTATGGTATATAGGTTGCTAGAGGAAGAAATATATCTAAGATTTGTCATATCTTGTTTTGAGTGTTGGCTATAAATATCGAGATTATGCTGACCAATCTTGAGTCAAGCACTGAACTATGTTCAATTTAAAAGGACACAAACAAAGATGTCGACATAGATGCCAGATATATAATAGATTGCCGAAGGAATAAATCTGTTGAACTATTGATGATATATTGTTCTGAGTTTTGGCTATATATATCGAGGCCATATTGACCTACATTGGGTCGACCACTAATCTATGATAATATAACAGGACACGAAGAAAGATAGAGACTCAGATGCAGAATTCAAGGTCAACTGGAAGCGAGTAGCTATCACAAGCATGTTTGGACTTGGTTTTGTCGGACCTGTTGGCCACTTCTGGTTTGTTTCCTTCTTACTTCAGATCATTTAGTTATAACTTTTCATATTTCCATTGCAAAACCCAATATCCTAATGTTGCCTCTCACTTAATCCTGCAACAGTAAATCAGATACTGAGAAAGAATGATTTATGGACTAGATTGATGAAACCTGATATTGTTCAATTTGCGGTTACACAGGTACGAAGGCCTTGATAAATTCATAAAACTGAAGCTTCGATATGCACCAAAGACAACGCGTTTCGTGGCAGCCAAAGTTGCAATGGACGGTATTATCTTTGGCCCCATAGATCTATTGGTGTTCTTCACATACATGGGATTCGCCACAGGCAAGAACACATCTGAAGTGAAAGAAGGAATCAAGAGGGATTTTCTTCCGGCTCTAGCTCTTGAAGGCGGAGCATGGCCGCTTCTGCAGATCGCAAACTTCAGATACGTTCCCGTGCAATACCAGCTGCTTTACGTCAACATCTTTTGCCTAATAGACAGTGCTTTTCTCTCATGGGTCGAACAACAGAAGGACGCAGCTTGGAAACAATGGTTTACTACTTCGTTTCAAACGCTGAAAGAACGAGGCGGCACAGGCGGAGTATGATCGTTTTTCTTCCTTTCTCATAAAACTTTGGATGTAAAACAACAAAAGAGTGTAATTGGCGATTTTCATTTCTACAAACGAATGTTGCCTAGGATACAGATTCTTAATCAAATATTATTCCGTTTTCACAAGAATTTGTTTTAAAACTACAGAAATGAGCTAAGGCCTCCTCCAAGTGGTACTCTTGGTAGAAACACTGTAGCTGCATCAATACATGAACAATAAGTGAAGCCAATAGCCTGAAAAAACACACAGAAGAGTAATCAATTTTTATAGTTCGAAACACAAATGAAACTTTACGGTTAAGAATTGAAATTTAACATACAGGAACGCTGAGTAGTGATCCAGAGTGATTGACCAAGACAGGAAGGCTTCTTCTTGCAGCGGCTGGGATAGACTTTAAGTACCTGAGAGCTTTCCGTGAGGATAAAGTAGAATGGTCTCTGTTCGAGGATCTTGAAAGCTCGGAAAGATAGAGCCAGTCAGATTCTACCATATGTCGAACCTCCGTTGATGTAGTAGCTGTACTCACTGGACAGTTTCCGTTACATAGGTGGTCGTGGTCACTCAAGTTCCATCTGATAAGAAACCGGTTCATGAAATAGAGATGTTGCCCTGGACAAAGATGTACTTTATCATCAGAGGAAGGTGCAGCAATGTTGGTTCCATGCTCTGTTTCATCCATCGGTTTAACTTCTGTTTTAGTTATGAACCGATTGGTTTCATCTCTTTGCAGTAGCCCGATGGTTGTATAGGTTGATTCGCTTAATAAATTGAGCTCTTTGGCTTTACTCAACACGGATTCAGATGCAACATCCAAAAACTGGCTCGGGGCTACATGATCTGAAAAAGGTTTTGCATGTGATGTGATTCGACAGAGGTCATCAGATGTCTGTTTTTTCTGAGCTTCATTGAAGCAAATGTTCAAGAGCTCTGTCTTGGGTGGTAAAGGAGTGTCAGCAAAACATGAGACTATAATTTTGGTACCCTTCGAGCCAGGAGCTGGAGTAAGGTAGCAACCAGCAGCTGTAAGAGATGTCTGAGTATATCCATATGAAGCAAATGTTACTTTAAGCTATTACAGATTGAAAAATTAGAGGAACAGAACAACAATGAAAAAATGTTAACCTTGCACGGAATTTTGCGGAGGTAGCTCATAAGCAACTTTGAAGTGCTTCCTCTGATTGCTCTCTGCCTTTGAGAGATAAACTGGAAATTTCAAGAAATCAAAAGTCAAGAAAAAATACTCAATTTTACCAAAGCAAAAAAAAAAAAAGCTCAAGATGTAACAAAACCTGCAGGACTGCAGTGATATACTTTGAGAGACAAATGTCTTTAACTTCTGTAGGGTTTAGTCTCTCTAGATCAAGAATAGCATATCCTTTCTGCCAAATTCCAAAATAAAAAACACAGATGGCTTTTTCACTTTTACTAAGTCAGACACAGTTGATACATATTTGAGCTTAATGTGGAGAATGCTCTTACATCTGTCACTGTAACGGTCCGGTTTATCAAGTCTGTACAAACTTTATCGACAAACGAACGTGTTCTCCGACACTCAGAAATGACTGCTTGCAGCTCTGACTTAAATGTACCTGCAAAAGTAAAAAACAAGAACTTACACTAAGTCAGACATTACCAATCAAGCTTTAAAGAACAAAGTCCAGTTTGATGTTAGATATAGACTTGCCTGATTGTAGATTTCCTATTGATGTTCGAATCCTATTCCGAACAAACAACTGACTATGATTAGTCGGATCTTCAACCCAATCTTGTCTACCCCATTGACATATCTGCTTGTAAAACATTATAGAGCTGATGACAACAACAACAACAACCACAAAGCTATACAAACGATTTTGAGTTTCTAGTTTCCAGAGAAACCTTGTACATGTCTTCTTTCCATAAATCAAGTAACGGACGCACTAAGAGAATAGATTTGTTCTTCATATGTTTTGCATCTAACTCCAAATTGCTGGAGAAAATCTCAGAAGCAAATGCTGTACCCGCAAGCCCAAGAACGCCACTACCACGAGATAACCTGAGAATGAATAACTCAGCCTGCATCCAATTTAAGCAAACAACACTCATTTTCAAATCGATATGAACCATTTTTACTCTTCTAGATTCTCAAGCCATCACTTTACCTGGTCATCTGCATGATGAGCTATAAGCAAGACACCAATCTGTTGGCTGAAGCAGACATTCGAAATCATTTGATACCTCATTTCACGAGCTGCTTCTTGCAAGTGACCTTGCTTTGGTTTACCATTAACCCAATCACAATGAGCAATCTCACATCTGATTCCTATAAAATTCTCCCAAATTACTAAAACGCAAACTCAAAATGTTCATACTTTACAAAAGAAAAGTACCCATTTCAGAAACTCTGGAGCAGACAACTTCAGCCTCGTCTTTGCTCTCTTGTCGTAATCCATGATCCACAACTACAGCAACAAGTCCATCGATGAAACCATCTGTCTTGTCAACACCACTTAACCCTTCAGTTTTCCATTTTGCAGTCAGAACACAGAGCGCCATACTATCAGGCCCACCTGAAACTCCCAAAGCTTGAGGAGACACAAACGCAACTTTGTCATGTACGTAAACTAAAAGAATCAAATTTTCGATTCAATTTTAGTACTTTACCAATTCGGTGGTGAGGTTTGAGTCCTGCCATGGCCATTCTTCGATTGAAAAGCTCCTTGTAGTACTTGGTTTCATCCACCGTCTCGGGAACACAAGCGAGCTTACAGAACAATCGTGAAATTTTGGGGTGGCGAGATTGAATTGGATACGAAGCGAAAAGGGTTTTAGGGGAAAAGGAAAGTGAAGCCCTAGCGATTGAGCTCGAGAGCAAAGTCGAAGAATTTCTTCCATTGGAGCACAGGGCTAAACCTCGCGCCATTTACGAACGAGAGAATTGGGAGAGGTGTGTTTGCTTACTCAATTTTCAAAACTGATTTTGTAATTGTAATCATTTTTCAAAACTTTGTCTTGTCTAATTTGTCAACAAACTATATACAATATAGGCAAGCAGATATATTGTATACTTATAGTTATTGGGGATATTAAGGATTTCAATTTTGCTCTTCTTGGCAATAGAAGCTACTTACTTCAGAACCCAATACAGAGCCATATATTAGCATACCATTTTAATTCATCCACTTCAAATCTTGCATAATGCGTTAACTGTTAAAGAAGCACTCAACAGAAGAGGACTGAAGATGAATTCAACATGTTTTTCTTTGTGGTAAGGCATATGAATCTGTCAAATTCAAACCATCTCTTGTTTCAATGCCGAGTAGCTAGAGAAATTTTGGGATTTGACTCCACTACCTTCCTTCTCAAGTGAGTGTCTCTTTACTAATTCCTTCTCTACCAAATGTTTCCCTCTTTGATCTCCCAAGACAAGAGCTGAGACGAATATTTTCATCGCTAGTCTTTGAATCAGGTCATTCTTGAAATGAACCTGTGGAATGAGGCAACAAGCAGAAAAAGAGGCCTTGAATTGCCAATTACGGGAGGATAATTGCATAAACTGCTAAAACAGGCATTGGATGGAGTTTTGCATAACAAAGAGGGCAAGGTAGCTAATCATACGATCATCATTAATACAACCGTAACTAACCCTCTTGAAACTGCAAGTCAAAAGGTTAGGCTAAGAATTATGATGATCTAACCTTCTGTTTAGACTTCAAGCGTATATACAAATTCTTGCTTTGATGATTTTTTTTTTCTTTTTTTCTGTACTTTCTTCTTCTCATCTTTGCCTCTATTCTATTTTTTTTTTCTATTCTGTTTTAGTTCATGATTATATGGCACATTTTTAAAATTAGACTAGGGTCTCTAATGGGTTTGGACCGGCGGCTCATGGTACTCTATTTATTTTAAGATCTGAAGCAGCAAGATTAATACAATGCATCATATACAGAAATCTCATGAGACGTCTTTTGTTTGCATGGATGATATGGATGGTACTTTGATTTAGTATCATAATGCTTCAGAAAAGAAAAAGAATAATAGAACTGCGTATTGATGTTTAATTAAACTAATCTGAAGCTTCATGAGTTTTAACTATTGTAGTTTCACAAGGATGTGGTGTATTATCAGCATCTTTTAGAGCCATTAATACTCTGACATCACATTCTTTCACTGATCAAATTTCACTTAAAAGTTTATTTTCTTCATATGTGTGTGCACTGAATGGCTCTAAGAATAGGGCATTGTGACATTCATCCTCAAGACAACTGCATAAACAAACTTGTCGCTCTAGCACTACAAGAAAACATTGTTTAATTATTCTGATTCTTCGAAATTTTTTTGACAATTTTCGGATGAAAACAAAATGTGTCAAGTTTGTCAGCAATTTATCATAAATTTGGTAGGTTTTTAGTCATTTTCTATTTTTTTATGTATATACATATCATTCAAATTTGATATATAGATTATTTCATGCAATTGCTGAATGAAATATCTATCTCACATGGAAGATATTCCACTCATGATAAACGTGGGATGACTTGATGGAGTTGGGGAAGTAAATGATGTTGACATGGGATTATATCTTTATTTCTTATCCTTATCTTTTATGTTGTTGTGTTTTTTGTCGTTTGAGTCAATCTTATCTAGCGCTGGTATATTTGTTGTGCACTGTTTTTATATATGATATTTTGATCATTCTTTACACTTTTAAATCATAAAATCAAAAGTCTTCCGATTTTCTCTTGACTTGGACATGGTCAAGAGTGCATATGGGAGATCTCTGATTGATAGGGGATTCACGTGTTACGGATCCCTAGCTCTCTTTCAACGAAAAATGCAGCTTCTTAATTTATCTAAGAGAAGATTCCATTGCTGATCTTGTAATGAAAGAGTTTATAATACTCTCACTAGCAATTGACATTATGGTAGGTGGCTTCCGTTCCATGTTCACCTCCAAACCTGTGGCATCCATGGTGGCTCACGCTTTAAAGACAAACATGATGTTTTTATTTCTTTTTTATTTATATAATGAAAGTATGTAGAAATATCTTAGATCTATGTGTTTTATGGTTTTGTTTTATTTATTAAAATTATGTGAAAACAAAGTTACGTACGTGAGTGTCATTTTTTTTGTGTGTTTCTTGAGATTATGTATTCTCATGATCATTAATTTTGTTTTTTTTTGGGTTTTAACAAGTAACTACATTGTGTCTTTGAAATGTTGATGAATATATTTTGTTTTTAGAATGATTTTTTTGTGTGTTTGTTTATATCCACTGAATATTCTAGATTCTGAACTGTAGGTGTTCTTTATTCCCATTTTTAATGTGAAAAAATAAAATGAATACTGTACCTAGTTTTTTTTTTTTTGTAATTCAATAGTGGTAATACTATAAAATGAAACTTCCAATCATTAGTTTTGTTTATCATGAGAAATAAACCTGTCCAACATATTAACCAAACAAAAACAAAAGTTTCTTGCTCCACATCAATATCTCATATCAAATTATCAAGAGTGTGTATAGAAGTGTTTATTTAGAGCAGTCCTGGTTGCCTTGTTTTTGGAGAGAGTGACTTCCCTGCCAACATGTTTCTGCATACTCACCACGTTAGCATGCCTCTTAGCAGCCTCACACCTAACAAGAGAGGAACTTGCTTGTGTCACTGTCGTCCGCACCTGCTTACTTTTAGCAGCACGTTCTGCGGATATAACGTTCTCTTTGCAGCCTAGCTCCACATATTTGTCTTGTCTTTGGCACTTAGTCATTTAAGACTAGCCCATAACTTGTAGTCGATACAAGACAGAACTACCTTTGCTTTTGCTTTATCAGAGCCTAAGCAACGGAAACTTTGTTGTGGTCCAGCAATCTCTTCTAGGTCACGTGATCATGTTTTTTTGAGCTCACAGGCTTGCTCTCTGAGTTCTTTTCTTGTTTTTGTCTTGATCTTCATGGCTAATTCAATAAAACTCCACACAGAAATGAGAGATCAAACAACCAAACATACCTGAATTAATTTGTGCTTGAGATAGAAAAAATGATATAGTTTTCTGGATTCCAATCCCAGTTCTTGAGCACAGTTACTCAGCCTTGACTCGCAGCAAGTTCAGAGCAGCTTGAAACTTGCTGACGGGCAAGATAAATGTGAAAATATCTGCCGGATTACTCACGGTTGATATCTTCACCACATCCACAATACGATCTGCAGGATCTTGTGATACTTGGTCTCAATGTTTTTCGTTCTTTCATGAAACACATTGTTATTTGCTAGAGAAATGGCACTTTGCGAATCATAATAGATGTCCACAGTCTTCTGTTCATAGCCAAAATATCTCAACAGACACTTAAGCCATATAGCCTCCTTCACTGCTCCATTCAGAGACATATATTAAGCTTCTGTGGTGGATAAAGCAACCACTTTAGTCTATACCTCCAACTGATAGTGTTTCCTCTAAGAGTGAATACCATACCACTTATGGACCATCTTCTATCCGGATCAGCCACATAATCTGAATTGTAACAATGTAACTTATAATACTGTACTAGTATAATTTTTTGGCTCATCAATTTCCCCCATTTTGGTGTCTTTTGAAATTAAATGTATGATATTGCAAAGAGAAAGCTAATCATTCTCCCCGTCCAAGTCTCTAAGTAGAACTATACCAAAGAATTTTAGTACTACATATGTTGGATTCCATATTTAGTTAGCTGCCCAATTTACAAGAAATATTATAAGTTTGACACTACTAGTAGTAACTGATAAAAAATTATATATATATATATATATATAAATAAATCTACTGTGAAAGAAAAATATAGAAAATTATTATATTTGTAGGTCAGTGACCGTGAACTGAAGTAACTAGGAACGAAACCTCCTTAGCTAAACTTTTGATTGGTGTAAAGATTTTTTGTATTATGTTCAAATCAAACGATTAATACATATACACAAGCGTTGTTATATATATATATATGTACGTATATATATATATGTATATATACAAGCGTATGTGACCTAGCTTCCTAGAAATAGGAAGATTACATTCTAAAAGATATGCACAAATATACTCAAAGATATATGAGAATATCGGTAGGCCCAGAGTCGTGCCTGAGATTTCTCAGGTTACAAGCGATAAAAAAAAATTGGTCTCTTTCCCTTCTAATTTTTTTCAACTTTTCAATGTGAGATAACTTAAAAACAAACTTTTGAGAAAAAAATGAATAAATATCTAATTCGTGCATCTAGAGGAAATTGAACATATATTAGCTCGCACAACATTAGCCTATAAAACCACTGAATTAACTCATTTTTTTTTGCAAATTGACCTCAAAATATTTTATAAAGGTATTGGCCCTGAAGCACATGCTTCATAAGCTTGTGCTCAGACACGGCTCTGGGTAAGCCCAATAGAATTTAATCAAGATTTTTTTATATCTCAGCCTCACAACCTGTATTTTAGCAGCCATCCTTCTCCAAGATACGTAAACACAGGATAATCTTTACAGAAGACAATGTTGAATTTAATTGATATATATACAGAAAAAACATAAGTTGAGGGCACACACACATGATATGGTACACTACAAGAAGGACATAGCTCCCAATGATCTTTCTCCATGACGCTCTCTAAAAAAGGTTTGCAACTATATTCTTTCTTGGAGTTTCAAACATGTAAGAAGATTGCTGAAATGGTAATAATGTCAAATGATTGTATTTTCGGAATGCAAACATTGATTTGAGAAGAGAAGATGGATTGAAAATCTAAAACACAGGTAACTTTCAAGGAGATTTGAAAACATAATCCAGAATTTTGAAGAGCATAGAAAAAAGAAAATTGGTAATCCTTACTTAGATTTCAAAACTTGAGAGTCATACATCATAAGACTCTCGAGTTTAACAGTTATTACCCTAAAACCAAATGATGAACTTCTCCAACATATGTACTTTCCAGCCTGATCTTTTTCTCAATTTGAGTACAAAAGATCAG